CCCCCCCCCCCCCTCCGTATAATTAGGTATTTTTGCAACTACAAACTCTCCCTAATAAGTTTTGAACGTGTTACTATATAACCTGTTTTTTTTATTATTTCTTTTTAACAAAAAAAATATAAATAATGAAAAAACTATAATTATTTATATATTTATTCATCGTGACATTTTTCATGTAATTTGAATATTGTATGTAATAGTCGAATCAATCATCATTGTTTATCTAATAAGCAAACTCTCTTTGTTTATGACTTTTTGGTATATTTTGGTAATCATAAACAATTAGTTATATATTAGTTGTATTCATATACAAATAAATTATATAAAAAATCAAAGAATGAATAGGCTATTTTTTAAATGTTTGGGAGAACAAATTATTTTTGATAATGTTAGAATAAGATAAATTCAATAAAACACGACAAACTGATGAGAGAGTTCAACGATAATGTATATTTTTTAGAAAAAAAAAATCTATTAATTAATTTTACAGTAAGATCATGTCAAATAATTAGATAGATACATAATTCAGTTTTTGTTATTATCCGAACGTATCTGCTTAATGATAGGTTGTAACAGAAGCAATTATTACGTATGTGGGTCGTACATACGGTTACAAACTTATACATATGCATGCAACCTTATCAGCATGCAACGTATTGGACGAATTATTATCGAATAAAATAATATCATAAGCTGTTACTAATATATGAAAATACATATCTTATTGGTCTGATTCATGAGGGAATAATTATATATATAAGACGTGGGAAGGTCCGATTCATGAGGTTGGGCAAATACGACCGTCGTTTTAATTTCGTACACTCGTTATTTTATTTTATTTTGTTGGGTGCAATCACTCATTATTTTATTATTTTATTCTCAAGTAAGTACAGAGGTGTATACACACACACACACACACGATAATTACATTCAAATCCAATAAACTAAAATAATGTGATAATTCATTTCCATAAAAAAAAAATATTAAGTAGACTATGTCGGTTCAAACACACTGAAAAAAATCTGTAGCATATATTTTTTTTAAAATGAAATTAAAATGAATAAAAAACCCAAATATAAAAAGTAAATTCGAATCCATTATCTACATCAATACACGATTTTTAGGACAACAACTAAATTCAGTTTTTGTTATTTAAACGGTCCGAACCATCCCTTTGATTGCATTATAGTGAAGGAAGGTGGTGTTATTGGGTTTGACGTCTCGTCTCGCCTTCTTCGGATATATCCCGACCGCCCCTTCCGTGGTCGGGTAACCGCTGGTATCTGAAATTTGAATATCCGTACATTTGGAACACTTCATCCAACAGTTCAGATCGAGTTCAAAGATTTGAAAGCCGAAAGATTCGGATTCAAGGATCAATTACTCCAAAAAACTTGTGTATATATACATATATATATATACGGAATACGGTCAATACTGAAGTTATCAATGCTTCTTTAGCATCAAAGATTAAAT